TTTACTTCAATAAATAAGTTGTAAATTTAATTTACTTATGAATTTTTAATTTGGAAGATAGTGTACTCTGGGCAGCTGATGAGAAGAATAAAAAATCCAAAAGAAGGAGAAAAAGGAAAGTGTTTAACAACCAGCAAACAGTATATAAATACACGATGTTTATATTTTTTATAAATGCAAAATATAAAATGGTGACAGGGCCAAAATGAGTATAGTCTTTCTGGTTAAGACAAATGGCTAGAATGGTGTAGCTTGTCCCTGCACATGTAGAACTCTGGTTATGTTTGCACAGATATTGAACTAAATTGTGGTTGTTTGAATGAATTGGGCACATTCATCCAAAGCTTATTTTTATGGTTCCATATGCTGTATGTATGCATCAATGGGATTAATTCAGGAAATCATATTTTGTGAACTCCGAGTTAATGGATTGTGTGATCACGGCCATTCTAACGGTTAGTGTTACTTCTTTATTTAGGGTCCTGATATGACACTGTCCCGTTTGAATCAAGCTATTGATGAATGCTGCCCCGAAATAGCAAATTTTGTTCAAACAAGGTAAATGTGTTTTTTTCCTCTTTTTGCATATTCCAGTTTGCTTACCAAGACTTAGTGGGGTTAAATGTGCTTTTAAAGATGTAACTTTAATACATTTCTCCAGATTTTAGGTACTGTCTCTGAAAAGGAAGTTTGTTTTACAAGTTTGAAAATGCTTCTTTGGATCCGTTAACTCAGAGTTCCCAAATATATGATTTCCTGAATTAATTTGGATGAAGAAGCTTGTTCATCCTTTTTTGGGGTGTGGGAGGGTTGGTGCTACAATTTCAGTTCTGATTTCAAAATAATTATTTACATTCATCTTTTAGAGGAACTATATTTAGTTCGTGTCCTTTGTGTACAGAATATTGTAGCATCCTCTGTTGGCCTCACTTAACAGGATTAAAATGATGGCAGAAGGTGAATTGAAAGATATGGAACAATTCTTTGACGATCTTTCAGACTCGTTCAGTGGAACCGAACCAGAAGTTCACAAAACAAGTGTTGTGGGTAAAAAAAAAAATCTTCGTTATTTTACATTTTGAATCTTCACTCCTTGGTTAAAATGTAACCGCCTAAGCTGGTTTGCTTCAGCACCCAAACCCAACTTAGTTAATTTTTATGGATTTCCAAAATCTTTTTGGCGCTAAAAAAATGTTTCGCCATTTGTTAAATGCTCCCTGTTGTGGTGGAAATGGGTATTACAAAACCGGGGGAAGATGAAGAGGTTTGACTGTATTGCATTGTCAAGCTGCTAAGGCAGGAGATGGGCCAAGTCCACAATAGCAGCCTCCTCCTTGCCTCTGCAGGCTTGTTTCTGCGCCACATGATCCTGGCCTATAATAAGCTCTCATTCAGCCAAGTCTACAAGCTTTACACGGCTCTCCAGCAGTTCTTCCAAAACGAAGAGAAGAAAGGCAGGGGTGATGAGAACGAAATGGAGCTGACACGCGGCGGAGAACCGGACGACGAAATGGAGAGAAAAGAACTTGACGGGCCATTCAGGTTGTTATTTATTTGTTTCTAGGAAATCCATATTCAGCCTCAATCTGTGAGGACTCTGACCAGCTTATTAAACAATAAGAAGATATTGACTGGATTACTGTAACGCGCTCTACATGGGGCTGCCCCTGAAGAGTACTCGAAGACTGCAGTTGGTCCAGAATGCAGCCGCGCGAGCGATATTGGGTGTACCTAGATACACCCACGTTACACCTATTCTCCGTGAGCTGCACTGGCTNAATATCTCAGGGGTTGCCCCAAAGAAGAGGGAGTCAAACTATTCTCCAAAGCACCCGAGGGCAGGACAAGAAGCAATGGGTGGAAACTAATCAAGGAGAGAAGCAATTTAGGAGAAATTTCCGGTTAGTGAGAACAATTAATCAGTGGAACAACTTGCCTCCAGAAGTTGTGAATGCCCCAACACTGGACGTTTTTAAGATGATGTTGGATAACCATTTGTCTGAAGTGGCGTAGGGTATCCTGCCTTAAGCAGGGGGTTGGACTAGACGACCTCCAAGGTCCCTTCCAAATGTTACTCTATTATTGATTTGGAGGCCAGCAGCCCACTATAAATGGGGGCAGGGAGAGATGCAGGCCAACATCGTACCCCTTTTTGGGGGGGGGGGGGAACAGGAAACTGGAAAGACATAATTTCAAGGAAGCGGCAGCCGAGTTATCTAGAATTAAGGAGATGTTTGAATCAATCGGAAAGGATTTGCCTTCAGAAGTCGCACGTGCTCCATTCTGCTCCAGCAAAGGTTGGAGCCTCTTTGTCTGGGAAGGTATATAAGAGTGGATGGCTAACATTTCTGTCATTGCATGCTGAAAGCGCATACAGGCATGCCCACACCCATAACACAATGCATGCGCTCTCCCCCCACTCCTCTCCACATGCACTCACAACTCCCCCTGCCCCCTTCTGGGCCTAGCAGGGCCCCCCCAGGACCAAAAACAGGCCGCCAAGGGGGTGCTGCACCCTCCCCCACACACACACATTCTCCTCCACCCCCCTCCATGTGCACAAATCTCCCACATGCCTAGACCCCCGCACACGCGTGGCAGAGACCCGAAACCCAGCTGGCCAATGGGAGGTGCGCGTGTATGCGTGGTGCTGAGCTGAGCTGGGGCGACAGCTCATGTGCCCACAGAGAGGGGCTCCGTGTGCCTTGCGTGCCACCGGTTCGCCATCCCGGGTCTATAAGATGGCTTGAGCCGGGGGTTGGACTAGAAGGCCTCTGAGGTCCCTTCCCAGCTTGATAGCCCTATGATTTCTCTTTCTAAAGAGAGGCTGGGTTAATGCCTGCAATTGGGGGGGCTGTTTTATGGACACAAAAGCTCGTCAACAGCCTGGTCAAGGCAAAGGACAAAGCTATAAATCCTCCCTCCCAGCCAATGCGGGTCTTCCCAGGAGATTCTGCCCTGCTCCTTTGATTTATCCGAAGGTTTTCCGGGGAAGGAAAGCTCAAGAAATGGAACCGATGAGGAATGGAGGCGCAGAGGAGGAAGGAGCTATGACCATAATGGCTGCAATCAATATTTTATGGCTTCAACTCGGACTGTCGGAAGGGCAGGAAGCTCAAGTTTTCCCAGAGATCTGTTTTAGCTCGATCCTTGCAAATAATTCCTTGTGCGCCCAACCGTACTTGGCCAATAATCTGATGATTCTATAATTCTACCGTGTCTTATTTTCTTTCGACCCCTGAAATAAGTGCTTGGTCTTATTTTCGGGGAGGCCTTATTATTATTATTATTTTTTGTAATTTATTTTATTTTATCAATTTCATATATACATTCACAATTATATGATCTCATNACACTTAGGAAGGTTTATCTTGGAGAAAAAACATCTCGAGATGATTGTGGAGGCACCTGCTAGTCCTTTTCAAGGACTAGAAGATCCAAGTCTTCTCTAGAGATATTAAAGGACAGGGACAAATTCCCATATGAAAAAATATCTCAGTGGTAGCAGCAATTTGACCAAAAAGCACCATTCACTAAGAATGGTTAAGAACCATTTCTTATAATAAGATCTGATAACAGAGTATCTGCTGGACCTATTTTGATTGGGATTTCTGAATGGAGCAGGACCTGGGATTTATATTTAAAGAAGCATTTTACCCACCCCAGCAGATCCGTCTTGAGAGCCATTTAGAAATATGGAATATACATAACCCATTAATATTTTTTTTATGGTTCTCTTCCTGTTAAGCAACGCGAAAGTTAATAACTTGGTTAATCATTTAATTGAATAACACAACATGAATACATATAAGAGAAGTGTGGCTTTGTGTATTAATTCTTTTCTTCTTGTGACGTAATGAATTATCTCTTCTGTTTCACAAAAATGAAATCGAATCAAAAGAAAAGAGGGTTTGGTTTGATAAAAAATCCAGGGGGATCCTGGAACAATTTAAGGGGGTATCAAATCGAGACTGGTGGGCTGCTGTGGTCCAGAGGTGGAGATCTCGCCTCACAATCAGGGAGGTTCGATTCTAGGTAGAGGCAAATGTAGGGTCTGCTGCTTGGACAGGGGGGATGGACTAGATGACCTACAAGGTCCCTTCCAACTCTTAATCAGTTAATACCATCTTCTCCCCCCTTAACACCTACAACACTACCTATCCCATCACCGCCCTGATATTTCCCCTTCGGGGCGGTGACGGGATAGATGGTGTTGAAGTTGTTAAGGGTGGGGAGAAGATGGTATTAACCGATTAACAGAGTTGGAAGGGACCTTGCAGGTCATCTAGTCCAACCCCTCCTCTGCTAATATCCTTGGCTTTTTCCTCTTCTTAATCCTCCCTGGAAACCCTTCTGACCAGAACAAGGATGGTTCGATCCTCGTCTGCAGCAAAACCGGCCTCTTTTTTTCTATATCTGGGCCAAGCGTCGATGTTTTACGTTGGACGAAAACCATCCGCGAACAACTGCTTGGAACAATTTGGGAGGAATAGTTTTCCATGCCCCCACTTCTACCTAGACAATGACTAACTTGGACGGGAGAGTGAGGGACCATGGAATAAGTAAACGCTGGAAGAGACCTCGGAGGTCTTCTAGTCCAACCACCTCCTTATTCCATCCGGGACAAATCCAATCTTTCCTGGAAAGCCTCCCAGAGAGATGGAGCAGATGGTGAGGGGCTGGTAGGATTTGATTGACTGCTAATGACCCCTCATTCCGTCTTTGGTATCCCCTTCGATCCTCTGGGCCAGGGAGTTCAGCAACCCATGGCTCCGGAGCCGCATGTGGCTCTTTCATCCCTCTTCTGCGGCTCCCTGTCTCCGATCGGTTCCACAGTGGGTAGGGCTTTCAGTTAGGACAGGTGGGGGGGAAAAGAATGCCGCGCTAGGAGGAGACTCTATGGTGGGGGGGATACCAGACTTCCGATCGGTTGCAGAATTGAATTGGGGGGGGGGCTTCTGGTTAGAACCTTTGTGGCTCTTTGAGGGTTTAAGGTTGCCAACCCCTGCTCTGGATAATCATAGTTAAATCTCAGGTTGCCTTGTAACCATTCAAAGAACAAGGTGTGCGGGGAATGGGCTGGGATGAGGTCCCACCCAGGATGAGGGGTACACAGGACTGTGGATAGGGAGTCTGGATTAAAGTTGGATTTATAGGTGCTGGTCGTTACCTATAAAGCCCTTCATGGCATCGGACCTGGGTACCTGAGAGACCGCCTCCTGCCGATTACCTC